GTTCAGCAAGTATAAAAATACTAGGTTTTCCTGAACGACAGTCAGTTGAGTTAAGCGACGATAACAGCTACAAAATGGTTCATGGATGTAGCTCGCTTTTGTATCGAGTGTTTATCATTTGTCTCTGTTTAATTTTAGCCTGTTTTCACCGCGATGGGAGTTCCTCACACACCAGGCAGAAATGTAGAACGAGGCCACGCAAATTGAAGGAAAATGTGAAAAACGAAGCCTTGAATTCCAACGTTTTAAGAGAACAACAACTCTCAACTCCGTCACGCTTCGAGGTGAGGATTCCGACGAAAAAAATAAGCACCACATCTTGTTCAAGTCTGACAAAAAGGAACAAAAATATCAGCGAGAGTATATCTTGGTTGAACTACGGGATTTTGCCAGACGTGAGACAGAAAGACAGAAAACAACACCTCGTTTCACTGACAACAAAACACAAGCGAAGCAGACGGGAGTCACGGGACATTCGTACAGTCTCAAGTGAATGCCGCAATTCTACCTTTACAATAAAATATGAAGATGATTACACAGTGTGGAACAACTTTTCGATTAAATACCAAGGTGAAATATACCGTTTTGATCAGTACAGAGTCACAAAGGAAGGTCTAAAGGTTTGTAATTCTTCCAACACTCTTATCCAGGAAAGATGGCGGAATTTGAACACAAGGGAAAAGGAAAATATGGCTTCCAGGCATTGCAATGTATCTGTGGATGGTTTTCCAGACGAGATTACCAAGTTAATAAAAATTTAACTGTTTTCCTCAAACTTACCGGGCAAAGTTTCGCAAGGCAAAACTACGGAATAATTCATGGATATTTTGCAATTTGTTCAGCTGAATTAAGTTTATCTTGCAATGATTACGTGATTAAAGTCAAGTTTGGTGGAAATTATAGCGTTTTAAAAAACTTTGTGTTATTTTTCAACGACAAGATTCGTCATTACAACGAATATCGATTCAACGGCGACAATATTGAGATGTGTGTTTCTAATGATTCAGGGATCCAAGCTGTTTGGAAAGCTCAAAATTCGTGGAGAAAGAACGAAAACGTTTCTAGATGCCTTACTGGAGCCATGTATTTCTTTCACGAAAAATATTACGTTGTAAATAAGCAGTTTATACTTTATTCAGCATATAATAGTCAATATTTCACAAGAAACGACTATGGAGTGATCAACGGTGAACCCTTCGTATGCAAAGAAAAATTAAGACGGGAATCAACAGAGTTTACCAAAGAAGATCTATTAACATGCAACGATTCAATCATCAATATAAAATACGATGATGAATACAAAGTTTGGAATGACTTTTCAATACTCTATAAGAACAAGGTGTATGATTATACTGAGTATCGAGTTCTGAATGATACCATAAAGATTTGTAAGTCCACTGATGACTACGTACGAGATGTTTGGACTGTGCGCAATAACTGGGTGAAACAAAGCATGTACACTAAAAATTGCAAAAATCCCAGCCTTACTCGGATTATAAGATTGTACCAGTATGCTGTAAACAAGCATTTCCGTGTCTATTGGGCACTAAAACAACAATATTTCACGAGAAATAACTATGGATTGAAAGATGGTAGACCATATATATGCAAAGAAAAGTTTAGACTAAAATCATCCAAGATTTTCAAGAAATATTTATTAACATGCAAGGATTCAATCATCAATATAAAATACGATGATGAATACAAAGTTTGGAATAACTTTTCAATATCCTATAAGAACAAGGTGTATGATTATACTGAGTATCGAGTTCTGAATGATACCATAAAGATTTGTAACTCCACTGATTACAGCGAACGGAGTTTTTGGAAATGGTTTAATCGCTGGGTGGTTAGGGAACAAGAAATGGAATATAAAAATTGCAAAAATCCCAGCCTTACTGGGACTGTAAGATTATACCAGTATATTGTGAACAAGCATTTTCATGTCTATTGGGCACCCGCTGAGCAATATTTCACAAGAAACGACTATGGAGTAATAGACGGTAGACCATATATTTGCTTAGAAAAGTTTAGACCAAAATTGGCAGACTTTACCAAGGAAGATTTATTAACATGCAACGATTCAATCATCAATATAAAATACGATGATGAATACAAAGTTTATCGGTACAACTTTTCAATACTCTATAAGAAAAGGGTGTATGATTATACTGAGTATCGAGTTCTGAATGATACCATAAAGATTTGTAACTCCACTGATGAGCACGTACGGAATAGTTGGAACATGCGTAATTACTGGGTGAAAAGACAAACGTCTTGTAAAAAACACAATGTTCTTCTTGACATCCCATTTTTCTTCGTCAACAAGCAGTTCTATGTTTATTATGCAATCTTTAATCAATATTTCACAAGAAATGACTATGCAGTGATAGACGGTAGACTTTTCACATGCAGAGAAAAGTTACGTCCTCTATCATTTGAATATACCAAGGAAGATCTATTACCATGCAACGATTCAATCATGAATATAAAATACGATGATGAATACAAAGTTTGGAATAACTTTTCAATACTCTATAAGAACAAGGTGTATGATTATACTGAGTATCGAGTTCTGAATGACATTATAAAGATTTGTAACTCCACTGATGACTACGTACGGAATATTTGGAAAATGCGTAATAAGTGGGTGAAAAAGAACATGTACACCAAAAATTGCAAAAATCCCAGCTTTACTTGGATTACAAGCTTAAATTTTTTTGTTGTGAACAAGCAGTTTCATGTCTATTGGGCACCTGCTGAGCAATATTTCACCAGAAATGACTATGGATTGGAAGGCTATAACTTTATTAGTACAGTAAATATATACATATGTAAAGAAAAGTTAAGACCAGAATCAAGAGAGTTTACCAAGGAAGGTCTATTAACATGCAACGATTCAATCATCAATATAACATACGATGATGAATACAAAGTTTGGAATAACTTTTCAATACTCTATAAGAACAAGGTGTATGATTATACTGAGTATCGAGTTCTGAATGATACCATAAAGATTTGTAACTCCACTGATGACTACGTACGGAATATTTGGAAAATGCGCAATAAGTGGGTGAAAAAGAGCATGTACACCAAAAATTGCAAAAATTTCAGCTTTACTGGGATTACAAGCTTAGATTATTTTGTTGTGAACAAGCAGTTTCATGTCTATTGGGCACCTGCTGAGCAATATTTCACCAGAAATGACTATGGATTGGAAGGCTATAACTTTATTAGTATTGTAGATATATACATATGCAAAGAAAAGTTAAAACTAAAATCAACATGGTATACTAAAAAAGATTTATTAACCTGCAACGATTCAATCATCAATATAAAATACGATGATGAATACAAAGTTTGGTATGACTTTTCAATACTCTATAAGAACAAGGTGTATGATTATACTGAGTATCGAGTCCTGAATGATATCATAAAGATTTGTAACTCCACTGATGACTACGTACGGAATATTTGGAAAATGCGTAATAAGTGGGTAAAAAGCTTCACATATTTTGAAAGTTGTAATAGATCCAGAATCACGACGACGCACAAGCGAGGGGATTTTCCTCTTCTGAAAGAAGTCAAGTTGCAGGAAACGACAATGATGTACACAACTGTTATTGACAGTACAAGTTTGGTTGAGATTCGCAAAAAATACACCCTGCATATTATGGGTTCACGAATGACGAACATTAAAATGCCGTCTTTACGGAAAGCCGCAACAAAATACAGTTACGGTGTGTTGGAAGGTAAATTTATAATATGTTCTGATAAACATGTGAAACTCGATATATCAAATATTAGACTGTTTTACATAGCACCATTTTGTGCCTTGGCTCTCTCAATTATTTGTTTATTATTGTTGTTGATAGTTTATGGAATGCTTACAGAGTTGCGAACTCTTCCTGGTTTGAATTTGATGAGTTTAGGTTTCTCATTTCTCTTGGCATTTATTAATTACGCAGTGTATTTGTCACTGTATTTACGTGTTGATAAAGAATTGGATTTCCCATGTGCCAGACTGGATATAACAAATAAGTTTATTACATATAATATTCTCATGAATGCTGTTGTTAATATCTATCACTTGAGAAAAACCTTTTACCGCAATACTTTGGTGAGATCTGATGTAAACAAGTTCAAAACCTTCTTTAAGTACAGTCTCTTTAGCTGGGGTGTTCCTTTCGTTATAACTATTGTCTACATCGTTCTTGTGAAGACTGAAGTCTTGAGGTTTCATCAGAATATAACTCAGAGATCAGTTTCTTGTACTAAGGATCATAAAATTCCTAATTGGCTGGTTGTTGTTGAGAATTATGGTGTTCCAGGCTGTTTTTCGTTGTACATCATTGCAATGTTCATCTTCACCGCTTATCGAATTCGCAAAAAACTCAGAGCAAGCGACAACATTGTACAGAGATCAAAAATGGTTAAGAATCGCAGAAACTTAGTCTTGTTTTTTAAGCTTTTAACCACTACAGCCATCAGCTGGATTCCTCTTGTATTTGAAGATTTGGTGTCTAATTCTGACGTAATGATAGCATTACTGACGGTAGCGTGGCTTAGTGGTGTTTATGTTGGAATTGCGTTTGTCTTCACTCGAAAAAATTACGAGCTTTTGAAGAAGAAATATTTTAGCGAGCCCGAATGCGAGCATAAAATATCGAAAGTAATTCAACTTAGCAAACATTGAAAAGATCATTTTTGCAATTAAAAATATTTTAATGTAATAACATCTTGGGATAAGTGTAGGATATATTATTTGAGCTAAGATTGCTTTTAGTCATGCATTCAGCTACACAGCAAAATTTGTCATTCTTGAATCAAGAAAAAAAATGCTTGCTTTGAGCAAAATTTTGCTCAAAGCAAGCAAATACATTCTTGTCCGTATAGTAAGAATATTATTCTTGCATAGAAAAATATTCTTGTTTCAAGAATAATATTCTTGGCAAGAATATTTGTTCTTGATACAAGAATATTTTCTTAATACAAGAACATTTGTTCTTGCGAGAATAACCCTAGAATGCAAGAACATTTTTACTTGTTACAAGAACATATTTCCTAAATTAAGAACAATGAGAAATACATATTCTTAAAATAAGTATAAAGGTTAAGATTATATTCTCAATTTAAGAACGGTTTTCTTGGGGGCAGGTGCGCTGATACAGAAAACAACACTTTTTTAATTCAAGGTTATTGTAGTTCTATTTAAGATTTATTAATACATTCGGTATGCTAAAAGCCCCAGAAAACAAAAACAATACTACACTAATACGAAAGGGCAGAAAGTAAATTACCCAAAGTGCATGCATGCAAGTTTCATTTAAACTATAGGGTCCAGGGGGCAGTTGTACGAAAGGCGGATAGCGCTATCCACCGGATAGTGGTTTTTTCAACCCTTTTAAACATGCCTAAAAGGCAATGAAATAAAATATTTGGAGCCGACAAAAAGAGGTCCCCTAACTTAAGATTACTAAGCTTTAATCTAGATTATGCCAAACAACGAGCAATTTTAGAGCGAATGAAAAAAACACTATCCGGTGGATAGCGCTATCCGCCTTCGTCGTACAACCGGCCTCAGGCACTCAATTCTACATTGTACTATTCAAATCATAACTAAAAAGGCCAGAGGGCTTAAGCATTCCGTTAGAAATGGCAAACGACAGGGGGAAATATGAGGCAATGATGGGAATCGTGATCTGTTCGAAGTGAATTGTATAATGATTCATTTGAGGCCGGAATGAAAATAGGATGCGAAGGAATGCCGTCCAAATTTTAAGTAAAAATCAACTCAGCCTAGATGTCTTCAAATGCGAAGCTTAAGCCCTCTATTTCTATATTATCAACATTTAAAAATCATCAGATGAGTTCTGTTTGAACTCTAGATAGTCCTGTTTTGCAGACTCAAATGAGTTATATAGGTCTGCAGGGGTGTTCATGTCTTTAAATAACAAATTGTGGAGCATCGTGAGACCTAGCTCATGGGATTTCGAATAATCCACATCAATAACATAAAACAGTCCAATTAATGCAAGGACTGCTCTCATGAGACTCTTCAATGCCACAGTAAAGATTAGCGTACCTTGGCATATCAGGTAGGCTGATGTTTTATCAAGACACAGCAAAGGCATACTCTTACCCTGTCGCCGGCTGCACACTGCTTCTGGATCCTCATGATCCTACATTGAAAAACACAATTTTGCATGAAACATTTTCATCATAAGCACTGGCTGAGTGGCTGTGTAGCATGACAATAATTAGTTATCTTACTTCTTTATCAAAGTAACAATTACCTTAATCAAATAAATAAGGTCAATGAGCTTCTTGGCAGATTTATTCAGCTTTCCACTTCCAAACAACAAGTGCACGTTCTTCATAAGATGAACAACTTTGGCAACTATAACAATCAACATTTTTATTTTTGTCATTATGCGCAATAGGAAATGAACAATGCATTCAGCAGACACGGCACAACTTTTCAGATATGTTACATATATAAGAAATGCAGAATGACAGATTTTTAAATTTCTATACTTACCCTTTCCAGCTTCTGTAAGGCCCTTATCATCTGTTGATGATGATGATGATGATGATAAAGTATCATCCCCTGACAAGTCAACATGATCATCCACACAGACTACCATATCAATATTTCTCTTTTCAACCAAAGCCTTTGTTGTTGGATTAGAGTTATCAGTTTGTTGCCTTCTCAGTTTCCTAATAATGCAAAGTATATTAAATAATTATATAGTTTAGTCTAAAATAATATTCTCTGTCGACTCTCACTTGAAACTAAATACTTGATCATTTTAAAAGATTGTACTAAGAAACATTATTTTATACCTGAGATATTACTTTCCAGATGCGTGACCGCAGTAAAATCAATTTCATGCCATCGCCTGGAATAATTTCCTTTAATGCATCATAACACAGTCCTTAAGATCATCATTTGTGAGGCCAACCACTGAAAATAATATACAGGTTAGAAAATATAATATGAATGAAACCTGCATTGATGTATTCCATATGGGTACAATTAAAAAATATCAGGCCAATAGTGCATTATGTTAAAGATCTGTTAGAGTGTACATTTTAGTATAGAACTGTATAAAAATATTGTTTATTCTTGTTCTTTTAAAGTCCAATTAATGGATTAAGTAACATAACACAAGGTACATGTATCTATATGACTATATGACATTAACTGTGTAGAGGCAGGTTAGCCTGGTATTCTATATATAATTGTTCCAAACTATTCTCTATTTTTATATTCAAAAAATCCCGCCCCTCCAAACATGACAGGGGACCCCCGAATATTAAAAAATGAAGTGCTTTTATAAATTAAAAAATATAGCTTAATCAAAAAGTCTCAGCATTGTTCCATTTTCATTTATAATACCTTAGTTTATACACTCGATCGCAGATAATATACTTTACCTGTCAATTCGTAATAGTACGAAGCAAGTAAGGTGAAAAAAACTGAAGGATTGACGGTATTAATTTATATTCGTTACCGCGGCAAATTTAAATTTGCATCGCGTTCGCCGAATTCAAACATATGTATGCGACGACAATTCTTAATTATTATGACATAAATAAGAACATATACTTACCTATTAAACTATCTGCGACGTCTTGATCAATCTCGGCGATTTTTTCGAGTAAATCTTTCGACATTTTCGTATTTTCTTGCGATAACAAACGTTGGACACCTTCACCTTTGTCGAGCGCGCTAGTAACATGAGAAGTGCGCCGCCGCACCGCCTGACCAGCGAACTCTAGTCCCAAAATGCTTTGCAGGGAGAATTTTATTTTTTGAAGTTCTCTGTGATTTTACAATTTTATAGTGAGGAATTATCCGTTCAGAATATGCTTTTAAAATGAAAAGACACCGTCCTATAAATGAAAGGCGTTGGGAGTGTAGATTGTGCAATTGTTTTCAAGCAATTTCACTACGAACGTTGCTTAATCATTATAATAAGGTTCATGGAAATGAGCCCAATTTTCAAGTAGTGTGTGGCATCGAGAATTGTCCAGCAACATTTACGAAATATAATTCGTTATACAAGCACATTACAAGATCTCATAAAGAAGTCTACGATAATAATATCGAGGATAATACCAACGTTGAATTTAACCACAACAATGAGGATAATATCGATGATATGGACGATATTGATCACCACTTCTCAGTCGACTCAGCCTCAGATGAGAGCAGTAGTGATGAAGAATTGGAATTGGAAATGAATATAGATAAGAACCAGGTACCTATATTGTTCAGCCGCAAAGGAGAGTGTTGTCATTACGAACAAACTGTGATTACAATACTCTATCATAACAAGTGCTTTGACTTTTCAAAAAACCATATTTAAGTGCTCTAGTTACCATATATGAAACATTTGCTATTTAGCATGTATGAAATGCTGGCAGTTTACTTAAATGATGGCATGTTGAATATAGGCGGTGATATAAATAAAATGATAGCAGTATTCATCTGTGCTGTCAAGTGAATTATCTAAATACATGGTATCACAAAACATAACTGTAATATTACTGTGATATTAACATAACTGTGATATTATGTGCACAAACCAAGTAGTTTAGTTATTTAAGTGTAAAATAATTTATGTGGTTTTAGAATGTTGACAATATTGATATTACAAAGAGTGCTGCCTCATTCCTCTTAAAGGTGAAAGAAAGGAATAAAATACCTCAGGTGTGTATAAATATTTATTGATGAAACCTTGGTACAGAATAGTGTACCCAACCCACATCCCTATTTGCATAAACAAATGGTAAATTGCTAAACATCAATGGCCAATGAAAACTAGATAGTGCTATCCACCTGATAATGTTTTTTTATTTCTCTGAAATCACCTGTTGTTTGGTATAATTTTGAGTGAAATTTGAAGTTAAATTAAAATTGAAGCTTAAAATTAAAGCTGAACTGTGTAAAGTACATAGCATGAAACAATCTCTCCTTAAAGAGTCAAATTGTGTGGTTTTAGAAAAACTATGTACCTGAAATGCTACATATAATATGATAATACAATCAATATGTTCAGGTTGCAATGGAATCAATAATGGACAGTACACGCACACTGGTAAAGCAAGTGGTAGATTCTGTGAAAGCGGAAGTTTTAAATGTCATGGCCTTCTACCTCAATTGAAATTGTGGATGTTTACAAAGTAAGTTGGATCAAGCTTTTTGGAACAAAGTTTGCAAAGTCTGGTATTATTGCTATTGATGTTGCTGGAGACCCTGCATTGCCTGTTTTTGGAGTCATTGTGTGCATATGGTCAATTCTGGACTTTACATACTTTGATGTAGAGTTGCTTAAGACGTTATCTTTCGATGAAAAACATCAAGCTTATCACGTTTCGGAGAGTACAGAGGATGTTACTGCAATTTATCCTTATGACAGTCTAGTGGACTTTAATGTCTTTCATTGGAAGAAAGATAAAGAGAATAACAAGTATGTTACAGTGAAATATGACCTTTGTGATATAATTGAGGAGCATATTGAAGGACGAAATCCTCTTCATTTGTGACTGGTAAGAGTTTTTAGAAAAATTTAAATTGTATATAGTATCTTGCATGAAACAGGCAGTCAAGACTATTAACATAAATTGTGGCACATTGTTTCAACACTATTTCACCAAATGGCACATTGTTTCAACTTGTATGTTACACAGTGAAACAAACATATGTATCCAGAACAATGTTACCAGGTATAATGTATTGTTTGTATAAAAAGCGGCAATCAGCTGCTTTCTTCTTTATGTGCAGTGGACTTAATCGCACCTATATATTACTACTAATGTTGAATCACCTTGTCATAACTATTTACTGTTTATTGAAGGGCTTATTCTAGCCAACCTATAGCATTGAGTGATTTTAGGGTTGAAACATTTTAATATTTCATCCGGAAAGTTTGAAATTAAAAATATCCATTTCAAATGAATCTATTCACTGAGCTCATATATTATGAAAACGATACGTTTTCAGCGATGACAATTAATGCCAAAGTGTACAGTACAATTTAGATTTGAAATGGATATTTTTATTTCAAACATTCGGGGTGAAATACAGAAAGATTTAATTGAATTGCCTTTCAAGCTGGCTCCATATAGTTATAACAAAATTCAGGTAAAAAAAACATGAAAAGAAATGGGTGACTTTCCCCAACAGTATTAGCTGAAGAAAATTCCGGGATAAGCTGATGTAAGCATAAGTGATTTGATCTGTTACTAACAATTAATAGTGTGATTTTTAGTTCATAAATAAACTAAAAAAAACATTTTCAGTTAAAATCTTCAAAATGCCTTAATGCTATCCTAATAACGTTTGAACGTCTTTAAATGTTAAGTGTCTGACTTTTAATAAACTGTATCGAGCCACTTCTAATAAAAATTAAGTAATAGGTAGAACTAATTTACTAGATTTAAGAATGAGAATAAATTTGTTCCAACATTGTTCTTGTTTCAAGGATATTATTCCTGTCGTATTCTTATTTTAAGAACTTTATATTCTCCCCAAATTTACTTGATTCTTGTTTCAAGAATGTTGCAATTCTTGCGAGAATATTATTCTTGTTATATTCGTATTTTAAGAATTTTATATTCTCTCCAAATTTACTTGATTCTTGTTTCAAGAATGTTACATTTCTAGCAAGAATATAATTCTTGTCTCGAATTTATTTGTCTTATTTTAAGAGAAATAATTCTAGGCAGAAATATTCTTACTTGTTTCAAGAATTTTAAATTGTTGCTAAGAATAGTATTGCTCAAATTAAGTATTGTTTTACTTAAAACAAGAATTTTGCAAGAATATTTTTCTTGCAAGAATTTCCAATTTTGCTGTGTAGTGTTTATCGCTATAACAACGACGACTGAGTGATGTGATAGAGTTTCTTTATATACATCAGCGATCATTAAGACTATGTTGTATACAACACACAAAAGAAAATATAGATTCAGACTATTTCACATCTGTCACATTAAGTTACGTAGAAATATTAAACACTTAATAAATATTGACTGATTATTTAAGCTATATACATAAAAGCCTGTAGACTATGTATAGACAAGCTCACCCTCACCGTATTGTATATTAAAAATGTTTATCTGATAATGAAACTACAAAATATCATATATCAATTTAAAGAAAAGTATACAGTACCATATTGACTGTATGTATATATATACATTACATAAGAATAAAAATTAATTGAATACATGTGTATATTATACTGGGTTTCATGTGACGTCATAATTCCGGGGGTGGGGAATCTCGAAATCGAGACACTGTAAGTTGGAGTGAGTTAATTGTTCACTGTATGTGTTGGCCTTGTGCTTCGTAGCAAATATACGCAATTTCGTATCATTTGCTTACGCCTGTCCGTGCAGCATAAGGGTCGAAACAATTAAGGTTGACAACCCATGCACCCAAATCACTATGAAAACAATACGTCAAACACACCAATTAAACAACGTTCGATATTCTATATTAAATTATATATATCTATAGACTATGAAATATGTTAATTGCTTGTATAAAATTAACAAGTATGTTAAACAACATTTAATAACTTTGTCTTCAACTTATTCTTTGTAATTAAATCCATCAATTTAAGGAAGTATAAATGTGTATAAAATCATTGTAGTAAAGTATAATAAAGTAGACTTTAA